TGAACACTAGAAAGTTATCAAAAATAGCAAGAAACAAATAGTCCATGATAAAAAAAAGATGCACTGAAGAGGGGGATCTATTACTTTCTATTGTTTAAACGTATGAAAATGAAATCCACGCATATTTCTACGGAGATTTTCAGAAAATTTCATTCTTTTTCTCTTTAGAGGAGTCTTTGGGAGAACCTATAGAAGGTTATATACTGAGTCTACTGAATAGCTTTTATTTTACTTTATGAAATTTTTCTATTAATTTTCAAGTGAAGTCTAGTCTATTTTCAATGTAAAATGGGTCACCTGTGAGTATCTTACAATAAGTCACCCAAACATATTCTAGGAGATTCCATGTTAATTCTTACAGAACTTTACGGTATTCATTATGTTCCTGAAAATCACACTAATGGAACTTCTATTGATAACGTATTTTGTGAAATCGGTCCTTGACAGCATAGTGTTTTCAATTATTTAGAGCATTAAATTTTTGTCACAGAAAGTTCTCTATGAAATTCTACTACAGTCAAAATATCAACTTTCTAGCACGATTTCTTCATGGAATGTCAATATTTATATAGTACCGCAAGCATGATCATTTTGCTGTGCATCTCTTAGCAGTGGCGGATCGACCAGTTAGACTACCCGGCGATCGCCACCCCCTTAAGAAATTTGTTTCGATTTTTCTCAGCAGAAATGAAACAGATTAGAGTCTTAATGCCTCAAATAGACTTGAAAAACCGTTTTTTGGCCAGAAGCGCCACCCCCTTACAGATTTTCTGGATCTGCCACTGTCTCTTAATATTGATGAACTGCATTTTTACGATTATTATATCAAGTTAAGGCATGTAAACAATGAGCAACTCAATAAAGATGGATCTGTTTTCGCTGGAATATGCCTATCATAAAAGAGCAAACTAAATGTGCTTTTTTGTGGGTGGCGTTCTCAGCAATATGTACGCACTTTCGTAACTGAACAGTATATTTTTAAACAATTTAGGTCCGCATTCTTTAAAACTGTTATTTTTAATACATATTTCAAAATTATAAAACTGTAACAACTTTGATTGAAGACAAATTCAGTGATACTGCATGAATATTGACTTATAGAACTGCATAAATGAACTTCTATCTGTGGTACTCAATAATTTTTACATCACCGTTTTTATCCAAGAAACAAAATCGGATTCGTGAATACGTCATTTCACTTTTTGATCCTTTCTATTTTCATGATATTCTCGTATCCGGGATACGGTGGCGATCCATACGGTCCCACAATCCCGCGATCCGCTTTTCCCCCTTGGTAAAAATCATGATTAATCCTAAATAGAACAAAAACAACATCAACTCACTTTATCATCTCCCAGCACATAATGATGACTGCTGCTCTATATTTTATTCCTAGCTAGTCCTTTCAGCTTTGTAAGTTTTTTTTAACGGCTGATATTTTTAGTTATCTGTACATCCTTTGAACTATATATTATCAACCCATGTAAAAAAAAATTAACGGTATAATCAGATTAAAATCGATTACAAAATGATTAAAAATCGATTAAAATCATGCACCGTTTAATCAATTTTAAATCGAAAATAATCGAAAAAATCAAAATTTCATTGATTATTTTGATTAATTTCGATTAAAATTGATGAAAATTAATTGCAGATTTTTTACACATAACAGACAGAAATCGATTGAAGCCGGTTTTTCTCATGAATTTTTAATCAATTTTAATCGAAGTTAATAAAAATAATCAATGAAATTTTTATTTTTTTTTGATTATTTTTGATTAAAAATTGATTAAAATGTGTATGATTTGAATCATTTTGTAATCGATTTAAATCTGATTATACCCTTAATTTTTTTATATGGGATTCCATTACTCTTACTACTAATTACTAAGTGAAATTTTCAAACGGCAGGCATTAACATCTTCTTTTGCGAATTGGAATTTTTATTAATCAAATTGCGAAAGTATTGTCCACACTTATACCGTTTTAGTATTTGGTCTAAGCTATGTCTGTCGTTTGCGTTCGAAAGAATTCTATATTCTCTCGAAATATTCATAAATATGCACTTATATCTTTGTCACCAACTTTAAGTGAGGGCATAAATTTGTTTCAGGTCAAAATATGATGGAATTGTCATTATTTTGATTATTGCTTCGGTGGAAAATACCGCCAATTGACTTTTCTCAATCATTTGAATATATTTAAACAGCAATCAGCGTTAAAATACCATCATCTAAGTTTTAAAACATGCATGTATACCAATATTTTTCGGTGTTGGGCCATTGCTATTGCTTGAAAAATTTATTGGGCAGTTGCCAAATGCCCTCCCCCCCTCCCCGGGCTACGCCACTGATGAAGTCATTAAACAATTGGTTATATGAACGGTATCTACTCTTTTTTTTCTATTTGCTATCATTCTCATGTTCTTCCTTTTTATTTTTACTTCCACCTGATTTTATTAAAACTATTATTAAACAGAAAAAAAGAGAATATAAGCTGACAAAATATTTTATTTGTAGCAGCGTATTCAGACTTCCACAAAGGGAAATTATGGAAAATTCAAATTAACTTCAATGGTGTGGCATACGACTAGAAAATATTAACTTTGAGTTAAATATCAATGTGTCCTCTCCTATGAAATTAGTGCCTGAGTCAGAACTGATTATTACCATGTCGTCCAAATGAATAATTCCAGCAATCTTCATAGATAACTCAATAAAAAAAAGATCTATATACTTATTGATGAAGAACGTGATTCGCTTATTAAAATGATGAATATACCTGGATAAAGTCATTTAATATCATCCGTATAGAGAAATATGATATAAAAATTTGAAAAAAGTAATAAATGTCATTTATTGATATTAGTCTTTTTTTGGTCGTATTTATTAGAATGAAAATGAAATAATCCTTCATTTTATTGAGCATGACTAGATTTCGTAGAAAAAATTGATTGTGCTTAGATTTTTAATCAGTACTACACGTAAGTATGTTGTGCCCTGAATCCCTAAAAAAATCTGCATGATTGAATTAAACATACAACGGAGGTTTTCCTGTGGCAGATCCTCTTATAGATGCAAAGATTGTTTATCAATGATGAATACTTCAACAGTCAAGATTATGCGGAATTTGTTTTTTCATTTCTGCATTAAATTACTCGTAAATCGGCAAGATTATTTCATTACTTAGAATTTTCAAAGGTCTCCCTCTCTCAATATATGTACATCATACTTTCTACAATTTACCGTCAGGAGCCATTTCGTTTGACGGAACACAAAAAAGTTCGCTTATGGATTCTTCTACTTGTGGCCATGTGATGGCAATAATGCAGGTACTTTTTTCTTTTCTTCCTACCGCAAACATAATTCCACGAATCGAGTATATGCATAGAAGAAGAAAAGAAGAATGAAGTCATGAATGATAAAAACTGAGAAGAAAGAGAATCAGTTGTTGACTTAGAGCACGAAAAAAAAACACCTTTAATTTACATATCACCAACTTCTTCTGTTTTTCGTTCGAGTTTCTCCTAGTGAATATGTTGTTACTACATCTATATGCATTACCAAATAATTGACAGCATCTTGTTTCATTAGAAGAAAAACAAACAATTATTGTAACAATATGGCAGGAAGATTGACACCAAGAAGTGTCGAAGAACATTCTGACGGTGGAATGACTGATGAAAGTAAGTCGCATGAAAAGCCTCTATCTCTCTAGAAAATCAAAAAGTCTTTTTTATTTAAAAAAATAGGTCTTGATATTTATGATGATGGCTCTAAAAGACATGGCATTGGCCATAGAACAATCAAGGTTAGTGCTATTTTTAAGCATTTTTCTCGTATTAAATATTGAAATTTAGGGTCCACCATTAGAAGTTCTCGTTAATATATGTCCACAACCACCTTACATTAAAGATATGCAGGACGTGCGAATTAATAATTGTATTTTTATGATCAGAGTAAAAGTCAATATTGCAAAAACGCGAAATTTTATCAAGTTTTTCTTTGATTAGCCATTTAAATATAATCCTACTAATCGTAGTCGCGAACCTGTCCCGATCAATGATAATACGCGTTATGTTGACACATGGGATGATCATCATGTTCGTATGCCATGCTCACTATCATATATATCGGTTTGTTTAAAAAAAAATTATTTCCTACAACATAATTCTCTGCGTAGAAAAGAAATGGACAAGTACGATGGCCTATCATTTGTAATTTATTATCTAATCTGAAACGAAAATGTGATAATCATACAGCAACTGTAGAAGATTTAAAAGTAATTATTTTACATTTTTATGCAAATCCAAACATTGATTACGTAGATTTAATTTCGATTATTTCAAATAGAGAACAATTGAAAATTGTGTCGAACGTCATTATAATATGGATTGCCTTGAGCATCTCATCAATGAAGTAAATTTTTATTTGAAAATATTTTCACTACGAATATTTCTTCAAGATTTATTCTAATGAACAACGTTCATATTTCATGTCTAATGTTCTTTCAAGCATTTGTACACTTGCATTAAATGTCGATATTCTCTGCAGTCAGGTATTGTTAGTTTATTGTTTATTTTTAAGTAGCTATATCTTTTCATTAGTCGCCGCCTCTATTACGTATCGGATCGAATCGATCAGTGACAATGTCACAACGGCAAGCTGCTTCATTGCTAGCTTGTGCATTTTTTTGTTTATTTCCATATCGTACGGGTTCAAAAGTCAAGAAAGAATATGAAAATTTTCAAAATCCAAATTTTAATACGTAAAAATTTCGCCATTAATTGCTATTGTCATTATTTGAATTTTTTGAAGATTATATCAACGTGGACCATTAGAAAAAATTGAAAAACTCAAATGTATTTTACATTATTTCGAACGTATCACTAGACAAAGTAAATATAGAAAATAACTTGTTTTTTTTTATATACAAAATTTTCTAGTGCCTAATGGTGTAATTACTTTTCGACGTTATGCATTACCTGATCAAGCTTCACCAAAATGGGGGAAATCAACGAAAGGTCTCACTGCTATGCATCTAACTACGGCGAGAAAGATCGAAGATATTGAGTGTGTTTTACAAGTAAATAGATGAATATTTTTCATAGGTTTTATACAGTTCTTATTTTAGGTTGATTTTGCGAATAAATATATAGTAAGTAATAAAAATCCGTTGATGTTAGTTAATAGAAAGATAGTTTTGAATAGGGCGGTGGTGTATTGACTTCTGGTTGTGTACAAGAAGAAATCCGTTTTGTTATTTGCCCTGAAATGCTTGTTAGTTTACTTGTTTGTGAAGTACTCGCACCCAATGAATGTATCTATTTGATTGGCTGTGAACGTTATTCATCGTACAGAGGTTATGCAAATACATTTAAATATGCTGGAGATTATCTCGATGACAAAGCTAAGTAAGAAACGTATTATTTTGTTTTTTTCTTTTACATATTTTATGTTTAAATACTCATAATCCTATCTCGGAGGAGACTTCTTTTTGTAAATAAACAATTTTTACATAGGGATAACTGGGGTAGAAAATGGTCTCATCTAGTTGCTATTGATGCTACATATTTTCGTGAGCGGGAAACACAATACAATATGAAATCTATTAAACGTGAATTAATCAAAGCCCTGGCAGGTTTTCATGCGCATGGACGAACAGCGAGTGGCGCTTTTCCAGTTGCAACCGGCAATTGGGGTTGTGGTGCATTCAATGGAGATCGACAATTAAAAGGTAATCATTTTAAAAATCAATTTCATCGCCTATATTTATATATTTTTAGCCATTATTCAATTGGCAGCGGCTTCAGAAGCTGTCCGTCCTCTCATATATGCAACCTATGGCGATAAGAATTTAATTGAATCGTTCTATCCAGTTTACGATTATTTAATTGGTCAACGTGCTCAAGTTCAACATTTATATCGGTATCTTGATCAATATTGTAATGGGCGGTTACGATGTTCAATTTTCGATTTTATTCTACGGACACCAGTATCATCTCTTGGCTCTTAAATTCATGCATAACAAGTCCAAAAGACGCCTGAATATTTTGTTAATAAAAAAAGATTTTCAATATGTCGGCTAACAGTCTTTTAATGAAATTATTTTATAAGAAAACATACTAGTTGAAAGAACTATTTGTTCATTATTTTGTAGAATTTGTTTTGTTAACCAACTGTGGCCGTATCTAAATTTGTTTCATACCATGAGCCAATATATAATTTTGTCATATCACAGATAAGAGATTTGTCAGGTATTTTTTGATTCGTACCATATATCACAGCCTAAAATAAAATTTAAGAAAACGTTGTAAAAATCAATAGATTTTTTGTTAAACATATACTGTTATAGTATCTTTTTTAGTGTTGGATTTTAGAATTTCTTCAACACATTGTCGTGTATCTTCAAGAAGTTTATCTACAATACCCGGTTGAGTGTGCATTTGCGTAACAGCAATATGAATCCTTAAAATATTCCAAGAGAAGAAAACAAAATGATAACTAATATTCATCTTAAATACCCCGGTGGATTTTGTAAACCAATTAAATGCCAACCTTTTGCATGTAAACCATCGAATAGATAATAAATATTAAATTTATTCGAGCTTATTGCTACAACACTAACATCTGGCTGGTGTAAAAGGTAAACACCATCAATTTTATTCCATCCGTCAGCAATATCTCGTGCTACTTGAATAATCTTTCGTGTTTCTTTCACATAACCTTCAATACCATAGTACATAAGTGTAGCCCAACAACAAGCAATTAAATAACCAGAACGACTACCAGCGACTGTCGGAGAACCATAAATACCACCAGGCCAATCGGCTACAGCAAAGAATTGATGTAAGCGAAGTTCTGAATTTCGATAGAGAATCACCGAAGTGCCTTTGGGTGTAAAACCATACTGAAAAGAAAAGAAAATTTCTATTTCATTTTTTTTCTCGTTCAATAGAAAACCAACTTTATGTGTATCACAACTTATACTCGTTACACTCGGTAGACGAAAATCAAATGGTTTCAATGGAAAACCAGCTTGATCCATAAAAGCAATAAGAAAGCCACCCAGACAAGCATCAACATGTAGTGGAACTTCATATTCCATAGCAATCTAAATGTTTACACAAAAAAAAAAAAGAAAAGTCACTGGTAACAAAAATTATAAATACTTTAGAAATTTCTTCAATAGGATCAATAGTACCATGTGGAAAATTCGGTGCAGATCCAACAATCTAGAAATTCGAACAGTTATCCGAAATCGGATTGCTTTTTTTTCCTATATACCATGCATGTATTTTCATTAATTGCTTGGCGCATTTTTTTCAGATCAACTTCACGCGTTTGAGGATTCAATGGAATACGTTTTAACTTCATTTTAAAATAGTTACTCGCCTGAAAGTCAATTTCTTTTTAACTAAATAACTATTAATTGAAATCAGCATACTTTATTAAATGCTGGATGAGCTGTTATTGGCATGACTCTATAAGAGAAATATTTAAACAAAACAACTTGAAAATGCAATCAATAATAAATCCTCTTTTCTTTCGAATATGTATGCGTAGCAAAGTAGAATATCATATGACAAATAAGCATTTATGGTATCAAATATCTTGTCTCCTATTATATTTGTTATAATTGAAATTATTTGTTAAAGTACAACAAGTAACCTTGAATATAACTGAGACGTTCTATTTTATTCATGCAGAAAATATCTGTCAGCTTGAAGAGCTTAAAAACTCTTCCAAATGGATCGATTAAATGTGATTCACAGACATTCACTTGCGTTTTATTATTATTTTTTTCCACTAATCCCATTCTATTATTGACGATGCATTTATTTGCATTGATTACGATTCCTTATATTGAGCTATGAACCCATTGGAATATATATTTATTCATCGAGTTAATCAGTAGTTCGCTCCTATTCATGGCGGACATCATCATACATTGACATTCTTTTTTTATTTGTTTAGTATTCTAGGGTCTCTTTTTCTTACATAGTTCTATTCGTTCGCACTGACCGACAGACATAAATAAACGATACAAACATTTAATGACACATACACACGTCTGATGTTGACAAAGCTCAATCTCTATTCATGTTCATACCTTTATAGTTTGAACACACGTACAACTCTGATTGATTGAGACAAGCCTCAAATTCCTAGCTTTATTCTCTCTCTCTCTCTCTCTCTCTCTCTCTCTCTTTTTTTTTCTTTCAAGGTATCCTCTTCTGTCGTCTCTTTTACTTCATGTGTTCTCCTGCTAATGAAACACATAGAAATAGAGAGACAGAGAGAACGAACGAAGGAAAAAATGCAATAAAAACCAACTATGAATAGATGTTAAATATCCATTCAAGAGAGAACGCCAAACAAGAAGTCATTTTATTGCTCTTTGACTATATTTATAGAGAATATATTTGAGTAGCCGATCGTTGTCATCGTTTATTTCGGAAGCATAACAAAGAAGAAAAAAAGAAGCAGAGGGTAAGTAGGAGGTGGCAGAAACGAGTGTCTATATTTACTGTTATTGTACTATAAGAAACAAGTAGATAAGATATTGGCTTGATTATTTGTTACAAAAACAATGTCTCTCATCTTGTGCGCATCTTTCTATCGTTCTCTACATATGTATCAACAAATAAGATGAATGCATGCCGGCGTAGCCTTTCTCTCTTGGATAAATCTTGTAAATTACTAGAAGCAATCATGCAGAGATATAGATATTTGTAAGTATACTTGAGTGGAATAGATGGAGATTAGATGTGAACGTTGTCCATCACATCACTGATGAATGCTCATCTAATGATGTGACTCCACAGGTGTTAATCAAATGTATCCGAAGAGTTTCTTTTGTCTGTACGAGAAAAATCAAAAACTTGAATACATAACTACCAGTCGTAGTAGGATGTGACCGGAAATGACTAGCTCGCTAAACATATTTTTACTGGTAAGCAAGACATGTACATTCGATAGGGATCTTAATTATCCAATGACATTATCCTTTTGAAATAATTTTCACTTGAACATGAAAATATCGATAAATCCTTCAATGAATAGGATTTAAAAGATAAAGAATAAAATCGTTTAACATAATGATAATAACGTAGAATAAAAAAAGAACGAGAGACCAGTGAAAGTGTAAGCCCCTATTACTTAATATATATATATATATATATTGATTCGCACATACTATTCGGGAGTGATTGTGACACTTTTTTCTTTTGCTCTTGTCGTACTAGTCGAGAAAAATAATTTGATACGTTGTGTTTTGCGGAAGTACGATCTAATTCAAAATTTTTCTCGCGTCTTTTTTTTTGTATTCCACATCAAGACGAGATACGTGCGTATGTGCGAACTTTTCTGGCGGAAATTAGAGCATGCACGTTTAATTGCAGTCTCGTTAGCTGTTGCTGACCGCGTGACTGCTTCTTGTCAAGGCAAAGGGTCTCGCTCACACCATCATCATTGCCGTTCGAACGCGATTAATGGCATGATAGATAGAAAGATACGGGCATCGTTTTTTCTTCTCTCCCTCATTTAATTCGGCTTGAATCAACTACATTAGTTCGATGAACGAGATAGAGCAAGTTCCGGAGAGATTTCATGCCTATGGTGCGTGTTCTGTTGCATTTAATCGATCTTATAGAAGCGTAAGCAGCAAGATACTTGCAGTTGTTTGTCACACAAACATTTCTCTTCGGCAAAGCTAGAGCGAAATATAAAAGAAAACAGAAGAACACTACTGACTATCCATAATTGGATCTGGAAACATGCAAGAAAAGAAAACTTTTTTCTTCTTTCAGTGGCTCGTTTTTTTTTGCTCACCATAGGATGTTCTCGACAGGTATTGTCACTATCTATAGAACACTTTTATTTAGTTTTGTGTCAACCATGAAATAGACTTTCCCCTTTTTTGATAGAGTATCACTTGAGATTTGTTCGTTTCCATTGAAGCACTAATCGAGAGCGAAACACTCGGAAATATATGCATCTGTCGACATTTCAATGACTAGCTATCTCATGCGATCGTTCACTTTTGTTTTTTGCTAATTTTTCTTATCATTATTTATTAATAACATATGAATCCCATTGAACTTAGAAGATTACTCAGTGCACAAACAATGTCATCAATTGAAGTTTATGTTACTTAATCTTTTCTGATAGATTTCAACAATAGTATTGACGTTTTCTTTTTGTTTTTCCGTCGGATTCTTTCATCATATGTCAAGAGAAAGAGTGAAGTGGCGGCTATTCTCTTTTCCGTTTGTTCACTCAGCTGACCATGTCATCCGTTGTTTTTTCTCGTATTCGAGTACTAGCAGCAGACATACAATATATATATATATGTATATACATATACATAAAATAAAAGCTCATCACGATAACGGCAGCATCATCAACCTCATTTTAAGGTTACTTCTCGAATGATACACAACTGTTAAAGATAATGCCATTATACATTGGTATTTTCTTTTGTTGACATCAACTAAACATCATCAATCATGACTAGAAAACGTGAGTCAACGGTTTATTCGAGCAGGAAAAAAAGCCGAGCTGAAATAATAATACTACGATAATAGAAGAGAAGAGAAACAAAACAGAAACTTGAATCACTAGTATACGCCAGTTTTTTTTTCTGTTGAAACGATCGAATAACTGCATAAACCATTCGAAAGTCAAGTGCACCTACGTGATTTGGTTATCACATCGAATCACGTATGTACAAGAGGGGAGAAAAAAACGCTGCTGCTTTTCCTCCCAAAATGCCAACCTTTAATGAATACGATTAATAACATTCACTGTGAATCATAAACATAAATCCTTAAAGTGAATTAGAAATATTATTTTCATCTTGAGGCTAATAAATTCTGTTTTCTTGTCGATAGCTTTCGTCTTACACAATTTGTCTTGCGGCCTCGATTAATAATAGAATGTTCATTTGACTTTATATCAAAAGTCAAAAAAAAAGAAAAAACTCGAGAACAGACGGCAAGTAAAATAGAAAGAAATATCCCAGTTGTATCCTTCCGTAGATTTAGTTAAACTTCTGTCATAGGAGAAAAAATTACTGGTGTTTTTTCTCTCCTCTTCTTCTTCTTTTATGCAGGTCAATCGATGTGTCTGCATGTTCGTAATGAGAGAAGAACAAAGAAAAAAGAAAGAAAGAAAAAAAGAAATGAGAGCAGGGAGTAATAACAATGTAATTGTGTTTTTGATGAGAACAACTGAATTACTCTTCTCGTTTGATAGTTTTTTTTTATTGTTTTAATTGTACATTCCCTTGCCTTCGCGCGCAAAACACCTTTTCTAATAGGATCATAGACGACGTCTTCTCTTTGTGTCTATCGTTTATTTATATTGTGCACGGTCACTAAAAGCATTCTACTCGCGTTAATGATATATATAAGTCATTTGCAACTCAGACATATTCGAGATTTTTATTGATCCTAATTTTTTTCCATCTTATGAAACACTTCATTCTCTCACGCTTAAACTCCCAGATGATAGTGTTCATTTCTGGACGTGATGCGATTTTTTTCTCTGCTGTTGTTATTCTCCCAAGCATATTAAAGCGCAAAGAGATAACTAGACTTTGATTGATGATAAGACATAGAAAATTAGATCGATCATTACCAGAAGCTCTGAGAACACAAACAACTTATATTTTTCTCTCTCTCTCTCTCTCGGCAATGTTTATGAAAATAGTATTTTTTGTTTTTTTATCATTATATATCTATTTAATGTCTCGTTGTAGAAATCAATTGAGCATGTAACCAATAACATGAACAAAAACAAGAATTTATCATAAATCTACTACGACGAAACACAGGCTAAAGAAATAACAAGTGTCTATATGTGTTTATACTAGCGTAAGTAATAAGCCAATAACACAAATGCAATGTTGCATTTGCATTAGTCGAGCGACAGAAGAAAATGGATTTAAATTTTAATAAGATTTCTTCTTTTTCTTCTAATAGAAATATCAATGGAATGCATTTTTCATTATTAAATTTGTTTATTATTCTTTTCGTTATATTAATTGAGTACTCATTAATTATTCATACATATAATTTTCAATGTTTAACGTGCGACAATTTTATTGATGGACCTGGTTGTGGAGAATATACACGACAAATACCATTAAGAACATGTAGAACATTCTGTTATTTTGCTGTTATATATAATCGTTCGTTACCATTATCTATACATCAACGTGAATATTCTTCGAATATATTACTACGAGCTATACGTGATTGTTCACCTTACGATGATATGACAATGGAAGGAAATCAATTACTTGAATCGAAAATAGGCTCCCTCTCAACATCATCTATCGATATAATAACTTTAAAACGTTGCAACAGTGAACAATGTAATAATGATTTTTATCTTAAAGCTGAACAATTTCTTTTAGGTAAAAGTTCATCCTATCGGTATCTATCAGTTCCATTTTTGTTTTTACCTTTTGTGATTATTTTTTATTAATAGAGAAGAGCACGTTTTTTGAAAAACAGTTCTATTCTTTGCTTTTCCCCTCCCGTCATCGAACATTTTCAATGTATGCAACTACGTAATTATGGTTGAGATCGATTGATGAGAGAGAATGTACACACACACACACATAAATATAACCATCATCGTTGATGTGTCTATTATAAGAACTTACCGCCGACTGTTTCTTTTCTATTCTAATGTGTCGCACAAGTGAGAAAAAACGACATATGAATAAGTCAATGTATATGTTCAATAATAGAATTTACTCAATGGGAATATAAATACATACGTCAATTCCCTGCTGTGTTTTGATGACACAACAGTTCTTTAATTTACTTACATTTCAGGTTTGCTAATGCCTTTTGCAATTGCCAAATCACGATAGGTTTTACAGGCCATTAATATCGATTCAGTACCACCGGATGTCATCTAAAATTACGAAAAAGAAAAACATGATGACAATTTTAGAAAAATAAAAAAACAAAAGATTACTGTGCCACAAACGTCTGTATCACCATGAAACATTGTTGCTACACATCGAACAGTTTCCGCTTCCATTGTACGTATGTCAGGAAAAACGTCGACATGAAGAGGGTTTGTTTCACCAAATAAAGCAAACACCTAGATTAATATACATTACGATGACTGAGCTTTTTAGTCTAATGGAAAAAAAAGCTCACTTTATTATAGATTTCAGTCATATCAGGTTTTGCTAATTTATAAACGCATCCAGAAATTTTTCCTGATTGAAAACTAAATTTCTCTAATTTTCGATATTCTTCAAGTTTCTGTATAAGTTTTTCCTAAAAACGAAAAAATTAAAGAATTATTTTTACGGATGAGAGTTTTACTTGAGAAAGTCCTTGCTGTGGTAAAACTGTGGTAAATTCGTGTCCGGCAATACTTTTAGCCATATCATCACAAACTGATTTCAATGTAGCTGCACGTGCTTCATTTATTTTACGTTGTACAAAAGGAAGGCGACGAGCCGTAGTAAATAGCGTTTGTCGAATTCGTGCAAATAAATCTATCGTATAAAGATCAAATATTCTTTCAGTTTAAATCGTGGATGCAATTCCCAGGGTGCTTTTAGGAAAAGAACCTAACACAACAATAAAAGGTTAACAGTGCACAAAAAAAAGAAGAACCTTGCGGAAAATGCTATCGAGTCAAAAATATTAATTAATGAAAATGAATTTATGCAATTATTACAATGGTGCATCTTTTATAAAGTGTCGGAACACATGCAATGTTGCGACACTCAATGACCTGCGCGTTCTTTCGTACAAGTTTTATTGTACAAAAATAATTAGTTTCTATAGAAAAAAATTTACCTTCATCATGTTCAAATAAAAATTGATAGGCGCTTAAACAAATTGTCGTAACTAGAAAAGTAATTGTAATTAATTGTAACGGTGAAAATGAATCAATCAAATGCTCATTGAATAAACGAGTTTTTTCTCTGAAGAAATTCAATTGTGGTTCATAGTCCTGGAGTATTTTCTAAATAATAATAATTATCACAGTGAATATCATGAATACAATTGAAATCTACCCTATAAAATGATTGAATAACATCCATATTTGCACAACAACTGTACGTTATATATCTAGAAATGCTTAGTAAGAAAAAAAAATGACTTGATACATTTTTATTGGATCAACACTTTTATATTGATTTTTTGAATTTTCACAAATTGGAGGTCGCTAGTAAGCAGAACTCAGCAAGACAAAAGTACTATTATAGTGACACAATTTTTATTGTTTCTTTAAGTAAAATGTTTATTTATAGAATACCATCTGATTACTTTTATAATCTGAAGGTACATGAAAAATATTGTCATTAATGAACCAAGTACTACATAGACAATAATATTAATCAACATGATACGAATAAGTTTTGTGTCTTTTGTGATTGGAGCACGTAAATTATTTGTTCCATTAGTAACAGTACGAGCAACAGCGGTGATACGACGTAAAGTTTAAAGATTTCTTATAACCAATGATCCAAATACTATCATAAGACATGGCATCAGGATTGCTAAGACCAGTGAATATATCTAGTCATCCGCCACATCTAGCGTCATATAGATAAATGTATAAATATATATGTTGTCTTCTCAGCGGAGGAGAGAAAGAGAGATATGTGTGTATGTATACAACATGTTAGTGTTTGTTTTGTTGTGTGTTATCGATTTTAGTAATAAACGAAGGGAGAACATCAACCCCTAATAGTAAGCTATAAGTGTTATACCGTTTGCAGCAACTTGTACACTATTGGAAAAAGAATAATGCATGACAATTATATACGATCCAAAATAATGTTCCAATAATTATAAATATGTAAGCACAACGGGTGTTGCTTTGTCGTCTGATATGAGCATGTGGTGAAGTAACACACATTCGATCAGGCGAAATTAGAATCAAATAAAATGAACTTAAAGAATCAGTTAAAACAATTCTATTGGACGTAGTTTAACTAATTAAATAAATGAAATATGATTAATTCATGTGGTATCCAAAGTATCTAAAAATTTTTTCGAAAGATTTCAACTTGAATTATATATATAATCATGGCAACTATCATCAAGATTTAATAAAATAAAACTCGAACTTTCTCTTTTTCTTTAATTTGTTTTTTAAATTGCAGAACTTTTGGTCAGACCTAACTAGAGAGTAGCTGTCTAATTCGAGTTCGAATATAAATGGAGGAAAGAAAAAAGTTAAACTGAAACTAAATCTATTTCTAGATTTAGTTTTAGTTTAACTTTCCGATATATGCAACATATGAATACATATATACCCTTCATCCGCACCCATCCTTGAGCACTCCTCCATGGTATCCATCACCCACACCCCTTCCGGGTACCCTTCACCCACCCTTTTAGCTATTTTTATCTGAGGTGAACCGATAAAAATCTAGATTATCTAGTCATTTATTAGCTAATGTTTGTTTTATTAATTAATATTCACATTCAGATTTAACTCAATCATGAGTTAGGTCACTCTTTTTCGTTTTTGACCTCTCTGAGATAAAATGCACTGTATCTGAATAGATGCAGTAGAGTAATCTACATTGAATTTGATATTCTGCCTCGTCAAATATCCAATAATATCTGCTAACACAGTAGACCCATCGATGAGCTGTTGAAATGTGATAGTAGATACATGTTTAATATATTCGAGAGTTGTCTTTACGCATAGAATATCCGCATCGCGTATCTTCAAATGATCGATTCGACCAGATACTACTGAACCAATATGGATTATTCTGGAAGGCAAACCATTATAAGCTAGACCAAACGTTCGAACTTGTGGTGCTTGTGCAAGAAGAAATTTGATGTCATCAAATTGCAGTTCATATGGTGAAGTTTCCAATATCCAGATTTCATGAAGTTGTGAAAGATCGATCCATGTTGAGATCTCTTGCAGCGCATCTACTGGCCACCATTCTGGATTGGCATCGACATCGAAAGCTAGACATGTCACATGACGAAAATAATGTTGGTCGGGTACTTTGAACTAAATAAAGGAATATGAGAAAAAAGCATTAGACTAATACATGTACTTACTGTATTTGTAATGATTGCATTGATCATCCAGTCCAAATTGACGCGAGCACTCCACATTCTACTTCTGTTTGGTTGATTGCCGCTGCTCATTGTAGTGATTGCGTAAGATAGATTGGCACGATTGAGACTATCGGGAAATTGGGCAGTTGAATAAGCGGATGAGTAGAGTTGAATAGTTTTGAATGAGGAACCTTCCGTGTATTGACAAGTAAAAAACCAACGTTTCGTTTCTAACCAGAATGATGTACATAATGGTGAGAGTATAGATTCGACATTCTCAAATTGGTCACATTGATTGGACATGGAAAAATTGAAATTTTTTAAAAGTGGTAGAGTTGACTGAAGGAACTTTTCCCATCGAGAAAAATGTTGGAAAGTGTTCCATGAAACATTCTGCTCTGTTGTCAATGTTAGAGAGATAAGACGTGGATGAAGGGATAGAAAGAATTCGAGCTCTTCCATCGGTAAATCGATTTCCTTCAATGTCAGCGACGTCAATGACCGACATGTTTTCGGACGAATTGAACTGTCTAAATCTCCCGTAAAGTTATCATCCAAGATGAAGTCTTTAAGATTCGATGATCGATCAAAGATATTGCAGAACTGTCGATAGGAGCAACATCGAAGTGTCAGCTGTTCTATGGTACAATTTTTTGGCCACGATATTGCATTTATGACTCTACTGTTGATATCTAAAGTCAGTTGACGAATATTTTCTAGATTGATTATCCGTGTCAAACAGGGTACTACAATGTAGTATCGCCGTCCACTGTTCGCTTTCATGTTCACTGTGACAGATGTGAGTGTCGAAAGAGGAGTCACAAATCTTTCGAGATCGTCTGTTTCGATATTATTAAGTGTCAGCGACCGAAGTCGATTGAATTGATCAATGGCAGCAGACTGAAAAAAACATTCGATATTATCTGGATTCAAATGAGACTTTTCAAAAAGTAACGAGGTGACATTTTTTGGTCGAACGACGCGGCATAGTCGTTGAATGACGGCCTTTGATGTTTGCCGCCTGAGCTGGATCTTTAATCGATCGTAGTTTTCGACAATCCTATAGAATTGTCGGCAGACAAGACGAAACGTAAAGAGAATATCTTCAGCATGAAGAAAATCTAAAATAGGATAAATAAGTTCGACAGGAAGATCTGTCATTGCCATGTTCAGATATGTAATAATGAAATCGACGTCAGATTGGCGGGCAAAAAAGGTAGCAGCTACTGTTTTTTTCTCTCACTATTTATATTTACTTCAGCGCTTCATCATTGCGAAATCAACGAAGACATGCGTCATATTTTTGTCGAGTACAATGAAAGAATTTCAATGGGTTTTGCAATTACACATTCATCATTTGAGGATAAAACGTGACGAAAAATAATTTTATGAAGAATCGTTTTGATTTGCCAGCATGTGTGGATGTGGATATGCGGATGGATCTTATCTCGATTTGCAGCTTCATCTACACTCTTCTATCGATTTTATTTTTCTGATTTTGATCAAAAAATTGGACTTACTACATCAACATAAATTTCACACATTCACATCTGCTTGGGAGGATGTTGCAATAACACAAACAGTGAATTTTCAATGATTGAACAAATAAATTTGTAAGGCCCACTTAGCATTCTTTTTCTCGGTATAGGAATACTTGTCTAGCGTACGAATGAAGTATGAACAAAAGTTACAAACTGATCGAGAATATTTTGATCAGAGTTGCTCTAATGCAAAATATTACTCATTCACACAGTTCACTCTTACAAAAAATCACTGTAATTTGTGCACGAAAAAAAATCGTTTTATCGTAACACATTGTTTCTTTGTAGAATTTTAGAAGAATTCTTGTTTTTAAGTGGAGAAATAATTCGGAAACGGATCATATTTTGATGGTAGACAGAAGTTTAGCAGAATTGAAAATGGCAACAGTGAAATAGTTTGACTAAAAACTCTTGCAGCACATTATTTCATCTTCTGTATCAGTCAAAGTAAAATATGTTTAAAATCTTATTGTATAACATGTCTAATAGATCGATACAACCTACAAGATTTTGAAACACATACAATTGATGTTATAGTCAATGAAAAAAGTCATTAGTTAATGTTCTGTCTTTTATTTCAACAGGCAAACTTGATGCTATACGAGTCAAATTAAAACTTTTTAACAAGGATCTTACTATTTTCATATTAGATTCGAACGAGGTTTTAATTCAAACAGAACCCATTCGTAGAAATAGTCGAAATGGTTCACTATTCCGATAGCATGTGAAATTCAAAATAGTTATTATATATCTATTTGGTTAAAACTTATAAGAACGAAAATATCTTAGATTGCTCATCAATTTGGAAATCCTCATTTATGCGCTATTAGCAAAAAATGTATCTGTTTGTAGTAAACATGCTCTTGCGAAGATATGCATGGAGTTAAAAATGGGTACTAAATTTAATGTAATCTACGATGCTTTTCTCAATAACGGCAAAACTCTTGACAAAAGCATTCCATGCATTGACATGCCTTTAGATATGTGATTTCAGTGTGTTGTATTGCCCGCTTTAAATTAAAAGAGAATGAATAATGAGTGTGAGTGAAAGGAGAGATATTCCCACGCCCATCTAGAATTATCATAAGATTGTAATTTTCGATCAAGCTGAATAACTCATCATTAACTGCAGTTCGCTGCATTGTATTAAGGACAAATCTGGAAATTTTAGAGAACTGAGCACAGTACGTAGAGAGCTTTTTAAGTGATGATTGACTTGCACTTAATGCTGTTTGTTGATCATCAAGGGCCTTTCTTAATTTTTTCATTGCAGTCTTCATTTTCCCTCGCTCGATTTCCAGCATCTGCACTTCAGTTTCATATTGTTTTTCTTCTTGGTAATTGTTATAGCTGTTGACGGCGTAATAACCTGCAATCATACTCAATCCACCAACGACGGCTGTGTCAGTAACCGTTGCTAACATATACAGTAAAACCTCTTATAGCGGACACCTCCATATAGTGGGCACGTTTTCATAGTCCGAACGGTGTCCACTATATAGAGGTTTTACTGTAATCTTATTCGTTTCTTTCCTTGATATCGAAAAACAGATGCATTATTAGCGAATCATACCCCTCTTAATCAAACAAGTATTGCATTAAAATAACTCCTCTGTGAAAAACTAAAGTTCAAAATAACTATATCTGAAGAGACTCACACAAGTGCAATATCTCCAGAGATGTGAAGATGTGGATCTGAATGCTATTATTCTGTTCTTTCACGCTCTTACTCTAAATTTTGGCAGCGAAAAGAACGTGCCAATAACTGAAGAGATTGACCGACGATGGCTCAGCTATCCCAAAAGAATGAATTTAATATGGAGCATCACAGAATCTACTCTTAAATATTTCTGATAGTTCATTTCTTCATCGTTTATTCAACAGCAAAGAAAAACTAATCTTGAACAATATTCTTTCTTTTACTACTTGAATTGTATTGTATCGTGATCGATGGCTATATCATTATTAAAGAAGTAACTGAGAGGGTGTGGGTGTATTATATATCCTTCTTACGCCCATGCCCTCAAGATCGTACCTACAAAAAACAATAGTTCCCTCAAGATATTGTCTAATCATAAGAGAAAGACTGTCAGCAATGATTTATATTGTCTGATATCGGTTTCAAATTGATAAGGTAGTATTACATTACGAATGATTTAGCCCGTGCATCATTTACAGATGAATGTTTGTGTACTTTCCTATTCATACGAGTAGTTTTAACAGCATTCTCTTCTAAAGAAAACCTGTAGATGTGAAATCGGACCGTAATCTATTACTGAAGTTTATATCTTTGCAATGCTAAAAAGAACTATTATTAAAATTTTTGACTTCTGTCTACATTCTGATTTTGCTAGTTATAGGAAAGAAATTTAATATAAAAATCATCATCATCTGTATTTTCATTTATTAATTTTGTTCTTCATTATCATCATGTTTAAGATCGGTGTTTTTCTTTCAACATCAGCGTCACTCTTACAGAAAAATAGTAATAAGTTAAAGATATTAATAAAAAAAAATCGATACGCACACACACACACACACACATTATACATTCTCATTCGTTTCTTTTTTGTTGAGGGGAAATTTTGTTCTAAAGCTTAAATTGTTCGATTTCATGTAAAGTTAATAAACACACATATTTGAAGAAAAAAGAATCTATATACAATTGTTCTTGAACATATAAAAATTTATTTTTTCTTAATTTTCTTTGATGCAACAAAAGATAAGTTTTGGTTCCAATGTAGCATAAACTTGTTGAGAAATTTGTATACGAAGAAATTTGCAAAGTAAACCGAATTGTTGATGTTTTGCTTGTGCAAATGGTCGAAGCATTTTTTTCAATGGCGACGAACAAGCAACAAGTGCTTGGCAAATATCAGTAACAACTAAACGAACTTGTTCAGTTAATTGATATTGTAATTGGGGTTGTAATTGTTGAAAAATTTGTATAGGTAAATTCGAAGAATTCGCATCCGGTAATAAATAACAATGGCGTTCCAAATTTAATAGAAGTTCAATTAAAATAGTTACAGTAAAGGAATTCGTGAATAATGCAGGATCAGAAAATGGACTTGACGATTCAGCTAATGCACTAGAATCAATTTCAACAAGTTTTGCCTTGATTTGTTCGTTATAGTAAATATACACTTGAGTTAATAATTGTTCAAATGTTGATTTATTCGCATTAACTTGTTGTAGCATAATATGAATTGTATTCACAACAGATGGTTCAATATGAAATGTTGTTGGCCATTGACGAACCATATAACTTAATGAACTATAAAGATGAATAAACATCGATTCAAGATGATTTGTGCTTTTTAAATATGGATATAAATGCTCGAGAATAAGTTGACCTTTTTTGAATTGACCAAACATATCACCGAATAGATAATTTTTATGATTCAAATAAGCATCAATAATTGAACTAAGCAATTGTTTTGATTCTATATTATTTGATACTGACGACGTTTCACTATCCGTATTATTATCCAATTGTAACATATCACGATATAAATTTTCAAGATTTAGTAAAAGCCCTAGAGTATATTTATCATGTGTAATTGCATTGGCTTGTCGACCCAATGAAAATGCACCTAGTAATATTGAAATAAATAACAAAAGTTCTATTCGAAAATTACTAATTACCATCGAGATGAAGAATACATCTTGGATGTCGAGGCGTAGCTACCGATTGTTTACCAAGTTGGGTTGATAATGGTAATGCATACGGTAAAGCATGAGCAGGATTTACATTAGAATATGTTGCTTGTGTTGATGTTTGAGATAAACGTTGAGCAAGTCTAAATAAAAGAATATGAATAGAATTATGATTCGTACTTCACAACGACGTACTCATTTTCTTGTTGAATCGATTTTAACAGCTGAAGCACTGGGTAACTAATTCTTTGTCCTCGATGACCATGACGATTCGATTGATTCCCGTGAGCTTGCTGTGTGTGATGTTTTTGTTGTGACCATTTATGAAAATAATAATCCTAGAAAATAGGTTTTGTTTTTAAATATTCGCAATCATTGTGTTATTCTTTACTTCTTCTTTTGTTTGCGAGACTTGATGAAGTTGAATTTTTACAACCCATTGTTTTTCACGATCGTTCATCATACCAGCAAATTCATCGTGACCAGAACCACGTCCTTGCCATGTATTAAGAAGTGGTGGTCGAGGATAGTGTTTTGCTGGTCGATTCTGTCGTGATTGATTATGATGATGATGTGATGGACTAACAATTGTATCAAGCGGTGTTGGTGATGATGATGATAATAATGTTTGATTGACTCGATTTTGTTGATGATGATTATCAACAATAGGAATTTGATCAGATCGTTGAATAGCATCCATAAATTGAGATGACATTGCACTATTCGCAACTGTTGGTGATTGTGAACGTGAATTATTTATATTCATAGCTGATAAACGAGCTCGTTCCATCATTTCACCAATAGGCATTGAACGTGTTCCTTCACGTTGATCATATGCTAAATTGTTGTTATTGAGAGTTCGACCATGACCGTTTATATTTGATAGCTAAAAATAGAGCAATGATTTATTTTTTGTTAAATAGAATAGTGAGTTCTCTCACTCGTGTTGTTGGTTGTTGTTGAATATTTAATGTATCACGATGCATTTTTTCAATCATAGCTTGTATATAAATAATTCGTTCGTGTGCTGGAATTTGTCGATTAATTAACATTTGTTCAAATTGTTTTAATAATTGATAATTTATTTGTTGTGGTTGTTGTTGTTGTTGCTGCTGCGGAGGTGGTGCCATATGTGGTATTGGTTGTTGAGAAAAAATACTTCCATGATTAGGTGTACTTGCTTGTGAAATAGCCATATTAAATAACGGATTCATAGTTGCTTGACGAAGATTCATCGATAGTGCTGACATTGACATTGGATCTTCACCAAGTAGAGCATCAATCGATGGTTGTTGAGATTGATCATTATCATTATCAACAAGTGAAATACCTCCGCCACCACCTTCGTCGAGTATGTCTGAATCGAAGAAATCCGGTAAGCGTTCTGATGAAAAATCACCAAGAAATTCTCCGTTTTCACCAAAATCAGATTTTATTTTGATTGCATCCAAATCACAATCACCAAATGTTTCGTCATTTAATACATCGGCTTCGTTATCATCTGTTGTTGGTGGTAATCCAGATAGCATTGTATTCTTATTTGACATATTTAATAGTGAAGCACCAATGGATATTCTATGACTGTTATTAGCATTCATCAATATAGTCGATGAATGAAAATTATTCAATAAAGAAACATTTGCACACACTCGAAAAATAATAATGATAATAAAAAGTCTCAAATAAAATACAATGAGAGAAATAGCAAAAAACAAGTAGCCATGAATAAATGGGAAAGATTTACTTACTCTATCGAAACTCAGTTGACTGATTGGTTGAAACAATTGAAAAATAATATTTTATGTTATTTAAACAAAAAATAAATATTAGTATTTTAACATTAATTATCAATATTTATATATAATTAAGTTGTAAAAATGCATATAAAAAATAATTTTAGCGACATCTATAACCGATTATATTGTACAAAACGAGAATTGTAGATACTTATTGAATGTTTAAAAGCAGAAGTTATTCTTCAAGTTATCACGCAAATAGATTTAAGCTATGCAAGAGTAACACCTAAAAAGGATAAAACAGATTCAGTTGCGAATTGTTTTGAATTAGTAGCAATTGCCTTTTCATCCGTTACTGATAGATACTAGTCAAGATATTTTTATTATCTTGCAAGTCGTATACAACGATCAACTTATTCATGAAGCATATCAAAATTTAAATACATTCGAAAGTGATGATGGCGTCTCTTGTTTTGATAGGTAATAAGCATCACACCAGTGGCGGCGGAGCCATTGAGACAGGTGAGGCTTGAGCCTCACCTAGTTTTCAGTAGATGAGGCTCAGCCTCACCTAGATTTCACAATATGAGACTCAGCCTCACTTGCTTTTGTACTGAATATTGCTATTATCTTGTTCTTGCATCAGAGTAGAAGCAAAGAAAACTAGTTTTCGGTATTTTCCAATCTTCTTTTTTTATACTGACCATTTTTATTTTTACTGAAGTTCAATAAAAAGAAGACTTATTTACTAATTGATGTTTCTTAAAATTCCACGGTAGCAAAAAAATATGATGAGCCTCACCTAGCTTAATGACGCTCCGCCACCCCTGCATCACACGGTATCAAAGTAAAATAATATTTTTCATATCAAATATGTATATTACTTAAGTGACTGCAAAATGTATTGGTGGACCATCTGTTTGACTGGCTTGCTTTTCATTAGCTCTATCTCAATTGTTCAATGTCAACTTGATGATAATGACGAGAGAGACTTTCTTTCAAGTGTTCTTGATGGAAAACGTAGTGATGATGCATCAACCGATACACTTTAGAATTTTCTAAAGCGTAAGTAAATCATTATATTGAAATCTTTGCATGTTTAACTACTTTTGGCAATTGTTACAAAATCTAATTTCCTATTGGAATCCAAAATAGAATGGGATATGTATGAAAGGGTTGAATTCTCTCTCTCTCTGTCTCGTCAGTTAATAATCCTATGAAACAACAGAATATCTAAACTGGCTTCCACAGGTAAGAAGTTATGGACATGCAAGTGGTATCAGTTATACACGTCAAATCGACAGTAGTACATGTGGTCGATCAATAATTGCCCCGAAACTTGCAGAACGTATTTATGGTGGTTCAGAAGCAATACCACACTCATGACTTTGGATAGAGTTTTTTGTTTTAATCAAAGAAATAAATTTAGAAAAATTGAATCTTTCTTTTATAACAAACTTTTTATCAAGAAGAAAAACCATGTACAAACAATAAAAGTGTTACGGAGTTTGTGATGGTACATTGCTCAATTCATGTTATGCTCTGACGGCTGCACATTGCATTAACAATAAAACCAATCATGGAGCGATAACTGTTGTTGCTGGTCTTCATAATAAAGAACTTGTTTCAGAGAGTGTGCGTCCAGGTTGGAATTCAGACAAATTGGAAAATGGCCAACCTCATCATGTACTAAAACAAACTCCGGTTCAACTAATCGGCAACAGTGAAAAGTATTGGCGACAAATTAATACTGAACAACAAATCTGTCGTGGGCATTGAACAAAAGGCTTTTCAGCATATAAAGGCGATAGTGGCGGTTCAGCTATGCAAAAACATGGCAGTCAATGAGTTATAGAAGGTGTAGCTAGTTATGTCAGCGATTGTAGAACAGAAAAAGATTTACCACCAAATGTCTATGTTCGAGTATCCGCCTATTTGGCTTGGATCAAAAGTATAATTAATAATTGATATGCATAATTTTTTTTCTTTTGTCTTATAACAATAACATTCAATTTTATATTACCATAAACTAATCATGTGCAAGATTCAATTATTTATACATTAAATACCTGATCATTGAATAGCTTTTTTTAAGGTGAGAGATACGCTGACGTGTCGAATCTTTTAATAGATATCTATTTCAATTGAAGAGAAAAATCGAACTGAATATCTTCATACTCTTTGTAATATTATCATTTGTGTTCACTACAAGCGCTCAATAATCGAATTATCTAGCTACAACCACCATCGAGAAAATGAATTTTTGCTTCATATTTTTATCTACCAGTCTTTATATATGCAGAGCGAAGTCTAGAAGAATTATTAAAAGATAAGAGAAAATAGCAGCTAAAATTGACACAAAGAAAATGTAAAGTGTTATCAGGCTGTAAAACAGAAAGAATGAATTATTTGCAAGAAAATAACAGGTAGGGTAAGTCGTAAGCATATCTTTTAACAACAACACGTGATTCGATGTGAGGACATCAGTAGGAAGTTCGATATAAACTTCAGAATCATACATGTGATGGTCAGAACTTGTTACAGTGCTATGATGTATCATCACAGAATAGAACATTGCATGGGCAATTCACCGTATAGACAAAATTTCGAAACGATTTTGGAGTACGAATTTGAAGTGTGGCTAATAGTGCAGCCCATGGTATGCGTCTGTGAATATAGATGTAGATACAGAACAGCTTAACTTGAGGTGGAATTGGCAATAGGATAGTCAATATTCCGCAGAACTCCTTTTTAAAGGCTCTACATGAGCACCCACACCCTCAAGATCGAATTGAACAGTCGAATATTGTGAAAATTGATAATTGTAAAGAGAAAAAAATAGATTGACGTTGTAGAAAATAATACTATAAAACATGTCTTTGTTTTACTTTTCAGATATTATTCGTTTTAATACTCGATAAAGAATCTTCTTTCTAATTAAACATGGCTACAGCAACAAGAGGAGAAGGCGAAGCGACAGTCCAACGCATATTACGCATTACTGACGTTGCACAGGAGTCACTTGAAATTCTTGCACCCATAGGTGGTTTTTCGAGAGTACCTCTTGTTTCGCTTGAAAAAGCAGTTGAACCACTTGTTCCTATTCTACCTGATGTTCAAAGTCATGCATACGCCGCTAAATTAAAATGTAATAAACCTGCCGATAATTTAACACCAGACGAATCTGCTTCGATTATGCTTTACACCATGGCATGGGAGCCTCCCACGGAATGCCTCTATATGGTCTTGAATACTATACTACGAACAAAGGATCGACAACAAAAACTTGCACCTTGGTATCTTTATTTGAGACTTTTTCTAAATGCATTGTTTCGTCTTCCATTGCTTCCTACGATGGCATACAGAGGTGTTAGATTAGACCTAAAAAATCGCTATATCGAAGGAGAAACAATTGTGTGGTGGGGTTTTTCATCGTGCACAACATCTATGGGTGTACTACAATCAGACCTATTCTTGGGTAAAAGTGGTACTAGAACCATGTTTACCTTACAATGTAAATCAGCAAGAGATATCCGTAAACATTCGTTTTTTCCAACGGAAGATGAAGTGCTTCTTATGGCTGCAACACAATTTAAAATAGTCAGTTCTCTTGATCAAGGCGATCTTCATATGATTCTATTGGAAGAAACTACGCCACCTTTTCCACTCCTACAACCAGTACCCATTGTTGGTTCATTACCAATGAATTCAAATCCATCCGGTGAGTTCGAAATTATAATAAGAGTACAATGCTTACTTAATAGAGACATGATCGAACATCGATAAATTATGCCTTTAGAGAAAACCGCAAATAGATGAAGTGCATTGAATTTATCGGAAAGGAGCACGAAAATGCTATTAATAAAAAATTATTGATAATTTTTCAAACTCGATACACGTACAGCAGGAAGAACTCCCATAGATAGTATCATTCTATTGAAATCTATAACATGACGTTTTACAATGAAAACATATGCACATATCGTGTTCGAATCCATAGATTGTAAGAAATTTTAGTTTCAAGAAAACTCACTCTACAGTCCTATATTATTTTGACAAAATGAGTCCTTCAAGTAATAATAATCACTAGAAACTTGTAATATAATTCAACTTCAATTGCCCATAACTCGATAATAAATAGAATATTTGCTTTTATTCACTCTCGAAAGTAGAGCTGTGCAGTTTACATTTCTTCCCTCTCATCCTCTATCAGAATATTTTTTTAAATGTTTATTCAGAAAATAAATGATTCTATCTGGCAGGTGAAGGATGTCTCGAAATAATTCGAAAATAACAAGTTTTGTTACCACATTGACATCAAAACTGTGAACCACATTACCTCGTGACGATTTCATGCTATGTGTGTTGCGTAATCTTCATAGTTTAAACTATGAAGATTCAAATTTTACGATTTATGCCTTGATTTTTTACTATATTCCTCAAAGTATAGAAAGTTAAGCAGACATATGTAAGATATATGCTTGTTAATTTATTGTATACCATTGGTACCCTGCATGACAAAGCTCATCTTGAGTGGAGCTATTATTAAGACTTTATCAAAATTATGTTTCAATATTTTTTCTAATCATAATACTCGTGGCTTTCTAGGTTCGACTGTACAAGATATACCAAACCAACTGAGGACGAATTTAAAGCTGTTGTACGAATTAGATGAGTTTACCGTGCCACGCTGTTTTTTTATCTTACCCGCGAAAGAATGTGAGGTGAATTCTATTAAAGACGTAAAGAATGGGTTGCCCATTCATTATAAACTCTATTTTCTATGTGAATGTTCGGACGAACCAACTAGAATGCATGTTGCACCCCGTGGTGGGTATTCAATTAAAAATTCCAAGCAATTTTTTCAAAGATATGAATCCTATTTAAAACCAACTTTGAAAATTGCACAAATTCTTCTCTCGGCTGGAAATCTTGATATTCCACAACTAGAAAATGTGTCAATCGCTAACAATAATACAGTACCATTGGAAATGAATACGCTTGCGTATCGCCAAGACATGGAGCAGCGATTAAAATTTGTTGATATCTTAGTAAATCAAATCGATGGCAAGCAAACACCACGGCGAGGTGAAAACTTACGAGAAATTCTAACGTATCTTGAATTTGTTGACGACGAGCACAGTCTGGGAAAGTTAGACTGTGCAGTTACTGATGATGGTCATGTTCGCTGGGTCTGTCCTGAGCACTATGATGAAATTAGTTTTAATGATAACATGAGTCGCTACATTAATGATTTCAAAGTCATGGGCGGAAAATTCGATCAAAAGACCGAAGAAGCAATTGTAATTGGAGTGAATGTGACTGAGGGCAACATTAACATGATATGTGATGCCCTCACCAAGGGGTTTAACATTGTAAAGCTAAATTTTCAAGATTGTTCGTTCTATGAAGGTTATCTCGAAACATTATTTGACACCATCATCAACCGTTCTTCAATTCGTTGCCTGAATATGACTACTGTTCGTGTGCGCAACTACGTGGGTATGGTGAAATATACTTGTAAAAATATGGTCGTCGAATTAAAAAATCAATCATTAAAAGTTCGTTTCAACGGTACGTATAATGGAAATACATCCATACTAGGTCTGATTTTACTACGAAATAAGATACATCGAACATTGAATATTTCTGCGGGCGACTTTCTTGGACACGAATCTGACCTTCAGCAGTGTCTCCAAACAAATGGAGTTGTGACAGAACTAATTGTACAGTACTTCACGAATATCGCTATCCTCAATACTATACTTAACTTGAGAACGAACGTATTGCATCAATTAAAATTGACTCAGGGGTTGTGGATTTCCTCAATTCTACCTCCGTTCTGGGAAATGCTGACGAAAAATGCAACGTTTGTTGAAATCGACTTAATGGATCATATTGGATTCAAGGAAGAAACTTTTGTTATTAAACTTTTGGACATCTTAAGAGAATCGAAGCCAACGAAGTATCTTAGCTTACACATTAAAGATATACAGCCATCGAATAAAAAAGAAACCTATTTAATTAAATCGTTAACTGATTATAGCTTTATTTCACGTCTCTGTATATCTGAATCGGTTGTCTCACGAAAATTAATTGATGCACTCTGTATTGCTTCAAAAATGCGTGGCACTTTGACTTACGTGAATTTTTATAATAGCCAAGTGAACGAAGAAGATAAAGCTGAGCTGCACTCGTTGTATGAGACTGGTAATTTGCTTCAACTGGGTTTTTATGAGCAATCGCGTTGGCATATAACGGTTGGGGAATCAAACGAGCGACCAAGCAGAGGTAAAAGCACTAAAATTTTGAATTTCATTCTTGTTGATGAGAATAATTTACAAGGAAAGCAACAGATATTTATTGGCGACAGTGATCCTAAATTCGCTTAGATATTCACTTCTAGTATTTAGAGTTCAAAACTCTTCCTACCAAAATGTATGCTAGTGTCTTTCTTGGGATTCTATCGTGAGAAACTTCTAGGATTGATGCAGTTGTTTTCCTACGTTATTTTTGCATTAAATTTTTCGTACATGTCTTAATAGTTCTAATAAAAAAGGTTGAAGATTTGATTGATTATTAAAATAGTAGTGGATACTCCATCTTTCTTAATTTTCACTGACAACACATAAAATATAATGCCAGTCATTTGTCCCTTGGAGCTTTTTAATGACATGAAACTCGACTAAGAAAAATAATTTATTGGCTTTCCCAATAAGACTATGCATCACATTGGAGTGTCATCTCTTATAGATGTAAATTAAGTGCACAGTATTTTACTCACTTAGAAAAAATCACATATAAAAGATTCATCGAGATTTAATTTCTATTTTTATGTTGCGAGTTGTATTTATATAGAATAGGCGGGTTTGATAGATACTTATTGTCGAAAAACTTCTGTATGTGGAACGTTTTTTTTTGACGAAATCGTACAATTGAATAATTTTTATTGCAGAATTTCTGTTCATTTCATATCAATTAATGCAACAGGCTATTGTATCAACATAGTGTGAGACAAGAAAAAGGATTTCTATGATAGGCAGCTTGTAAAAAAACATTGGATCTTTCTACACTCATCTATTAATTACCACCATATTAGAATACAATATTCACCAAGGGAGAAAAAACCCATTCGGGCATTCCCTAACATTCCTATCCGTTCGCAACCATTTCAATATATTCCTAGCTATTCTAAAATGTTCTCAAATAGGGATGGATCATTTTTCTTAATGAGACTTTGAAGTAGTGTCATTTAACATGAAATTTAAGATGTTTTTTCTTCTTAACACTTCATATTTGTAATTTATTGCTAATTGATGATATTGAACTTAATTTTGAATTAATGTAAATGATCTATCCCTACTCTCATGTAGTGTTATTTTTCATAAATCACTGTATCTGTCTTTAGAACCTTGTCATTTTCTAAAGGTTATAAATTTTCATTGAAGTCGATTTACATAATGTTAAACTTAGTTAACGCATATTCAAAGGTAGTGGTATTAATCATTGAAAACTACGCATTATCCGAATTCATGTACATAAATAATATGGATGAAATGGAAAAGATTCATTTGAGATGTGGAGCACTTTTGCTCTAAACATACAGCAGGGATTTGATCCCTAGGTCCCGAAACACATTTTGTTTTTCTTGAGTAAAATGATTGTATCTTTTTGATGATCAGTCACTTAAGTCATTGAAAGTCTTGCTCTCATCTAACCTTGGCAATCTGCGATATCCGTGATTCCGAATTATTCTAAATCATCCCCATTTGTACATACTGAATGACTATTTTTCTATAATATTCAAGTAACTTTCAAGGATAAGAAAAATCATATAAAGCACACTAGTTACATAAATGTTTTACATTCAATTTGATTTCGATAGTATTTAGTTAATTCGAAAAAAAAAGGATACATTTAGTAGTAGTAGTAGTATTTAGATAGTCACCTAGCTGAGCGACCAGTCGAATTCTTTACTATCTGTTTTCCTTTATGCTTGAAATCAGTTGTCTAAACACTTTGTCCAGTTTGCTCTTTACAATAACTAATATATCTACGTATGGATATTCAATCGAAAAAGTACATTTTTGTGAAAGTATACTGACTATAGTGAGCTTCCCAAGGTGAACTCCACGGATTCCAATGAACTTTCGTCCATGATACGGCGCAATGTTATAGTAAAAACAGCAAAAGACTTTCAATACATACCACTTTGTTAAAAAATGATGCTCATTTTTAAGATTTTCTTTTTTTTTGAGTTACAAGAAAGTGAAATAATCGAACTTTGCTCAGAAATTTTGTTAATACATAGGCCGACTGAACACTAAGACACCATGAAAATTTTAGCAATAACAAATGTGTTCTTCGAAATATACTCACTTTTTGAAGGAATATATTTAAAAGAACATATTTATTATTGCTAAAAGTTCCATAGTGTTTTAGTGTTTAGTCTGTCTATTTATTAACAAATTTTCGAATCAAAATTTGTTTATTTCACTTTTTGATAACTCAAAAAAAAAGAAAGGAAAAAATCTAAACTAGATGGTATTCAAGTTTCACTCGAATACGAATGCGATGCGAAGCTTAAATCGGATCTACTACGAAAAATCTTGAATTCGAAGATATGTTTGATTATTTTGATGTAGACACGATGAATTTCATCGCTACGAAAACTCTATCGATACTTAGTGATAGATTCTTAAAGAACGATTTCGATTGATTGATTAATTATTTTCATGATTCATTATCTTAAATCAGCTGTAAATGAATAGACTATAGTGACTAATATATGTTGATGACGTTACTTTAATTATCTCGCAACGAATTTCTTTCATTTTCGTCATTTTGGAAGCACATTTGTGAGTGAACGGAATATCAGATTGAAGAATAGAAAAAATATGTCAGAAGTTCGATCTCGATACTTTCATCTTCCGTCGTTTCAATGAATTTTCTATGATTTTCAGTACTCGAGATCATCGGGTCGTAAAATGATGAAAAAGATGCATACGTCGAGAAAACAAAAGAAAACGAAAACCAATAGGGTGGGTGTGTGTCCAGAACATCAACACCCACATCCACATCCTTGACGTTAAAACAAGCGTTCTTTCTAGCAGTGCTAGATTTTTTCAGTCAGTGTTGCCAGAAGAAGAATTTTTAATAATTGAATATCAACAATATCCCAACACCAAAGTTGTTGAACAAATAGTTTGCTAAAACATTTTCTGATCTATCATAATTTTCCTCAGGAAAATAAGCAAGAAAAGAAATTATTTGCATTAAATTTTCATTCGTAAATGCTTCATTAATCATATCTATAAGTCTGATTCGAAAAAATAAGTATTAAATATTTTGTATACATGTAAAATATTATCAACAAAACTAAATATAAAAGAAAATAAATCAGAATAACTTCAGAATATATCAAATTTGTTCCCGTTCTAATTTTCTATGTTGACATCGATGCTTCAATTTTAAGAAATAACAACTCTGAATTTCACACCCAATATTAATTCTGAAAGAGTCCCAATTGAATTCTAGTACAATGAAAAAACTGAAGTAATGTAATCATAAGAAAAATACTATTCTTACTCCACTAAATGAAGATAAATAAAAATTTAGAAATAAACTACATTTTGTCTTATTTTGCGATGAAAATACATAATTCTAAAAATATTTGTAAAAAGTTTATCCCTGAAAAATTCTGATGATAGAAACCAAAATATGTTTTCAATAAATCTCTAAAAATCTAGATGTAAACCATAGAAGATGTGTTCAAGAAGTTTTCACCTTGGCATGATAGTGGTGGAACTACTTAAAATCATGTTAAAATAAATGAATTCTTACTTATCAAGTATTGTTCCCAATTGATTAAAATTGATAAAATCAATATTATCATAATAAGATAAGAAAAAAGAGTAGCAATACTAATGCATGAGTTAAATTTAAAATAATTTCTATTATATTGTATTAATAATCTAATTATTTTTGTACACGTTGGTACAGTTGAAGTATAATTCGTCTAACCATAATGATTAAGAAATGATGGATCAACTAACAACATTGCCATTTGTTCAAGTGTTGGCTTACGATCTGTGAATATTATATAAACACGAAGAAAACTTTCAATCTAAAATTAGAATTATAGAAACAAAGAAAAAGAAATTCTATCATACACAATAGCTTTTTGGATTCAACAAAAGTTATTTTTCTACTTGTAATTGTAGTAAAAGTATTGCAATATTTATTTGATTTTTAATAATTTTGATCCAAGACGAAGAATTAATCGGCAATAATCTGAAATTGTAGAAAAATATAATTAAATATATATATGATTACGACCGATTACCTGATTTCTGTGTCAAAATGTTTAATTGAAACATCAAAAGAGAAATTCTTTTTAAGATAAATTATATTTCGAACTGTTTGTTGAATTCTTGCGTTAATTGATTAACTATAACTATCTATTAAAATAAATTCAATATAGAAACAAAAATGTTACCTTCTCAAACGATTCTATTGTATGTAAAAACGATTGTAAATTGTTGTTGTTTAATTAATGAATGTAAGCGATAGAAAAAAGAAGCGACCCATGTTTTTTTCCACATACACTCATTGTTCCCTATAGTTATGTTTGACAAATAGATCAATTATGATATTTAGTGTTAATCGGTGTAATAATAGAAATCCAATATATCCAAATGATTGATAGTTGATCAACTTGAGGAGATTCGTCGTATTTTAAAGACCTAGAAAATATGAATTGTACAAGACAGTAAAACCGATTGAATATTACCATTTGATGTTGCTGAACGGATTGATGAAGAAATAGAGATCGCGAGTACTTGTTAATGTGTGTTATTAAAATCATACAGACTTCAAGTAAACGCTATCAATAGATTATAATAAGAAAAACATTCGATAAAATCTGTAAGAACAGTTCGATCTCATTTTGTGTTAAATGAATCAATGGGAATAATCTAATAAATTGGCGCATCTTTCTGGAAGCAACAAGATAGTGGAGACGTCGTTATTAATATTCCTTTCATTTCTGATTGATTCGATAAATTTTGAGATCCAATTGTAGTGAACTCATGTCTACACAGAGACAGAGTGAGAGATAAAGTGTTGGTGAGGGGGAGAGTCTTTCCCTTCTCTCTTCACTATCTCTTATCTCTCTCTCTTTTCTTGAAGTATTCATGAAAAAAGAAACTTATCTAAGAGTATACTCGAGAGAGATTAGCTCTTTTCAGACTACTTTCCATGTCTTCTTT